GCAGCTGCTCAGCAGCTTTTGTCCAAGTTACATGACCAGGAAGATGTATTGCTTTTCCTGAGTTCTCCAACCACCGGTTCATTTGTTTGGCAACATTCAGAACACAGTGGAGACTGCAGCTATTCGGTCTGGCAATTAATTGATCAGAAATCTTGGTTTCTTAGCCATAGTGTGAATAGATGTGACCTGGTCTCTGTAATGGCCATATCATTTGTACACTGAAGCTCTGTCTCTTGAACTTTAAAATCCCAGAACTGAACAATGTAACATTCAAAGAAATTCAAGACCAAATCTGGATTCAGATCAGGGCAAAATATGAGCCAATAGTAAATGTAATTCCCCAGCAGATCCATCTGCATATAGTAATTCAATAAAATTAAAATTGAATCTCAGTGGCTTTAAAGTAGTGGCTTATTTTGACTTTCAGCTTCCATGCTTAGAAGTATCTGACAACAAATAATTCTTCTATTATTTTCATTTTTGTACCCTAGAAAAGAACTGATTGCAAAAACATGAAAGATTCCACATTTCTTCAAAAAACAATGGAACAAGAATTAGCATTTTTATGTTATCCTTACCATAAACCTTGGCACAACTCTATTTGACTAATACTTTGATTTTTTTTTCATCCCAAGTCTGGCTCCCCAGCAGCTGCCCTCTTTGTCCGTTATCAGCAACACTGAACAAAGTTCTGTGCTCATTCTTCATGTTTCCATTTTATTGTCTGCTTTCTTTATTTCAGTTTTGTTGCATATTGGTCTTTGTACTTGTGTTCTTGAAGTCCATATCATTTTAAAGAGACTACCAAAATATATTGGCATAATAGAAGGAGGAGAGCCCTACTCAATATGCGGCTTGAACTACTTAAATGAGAAAGTGTGTGACCCTCCAGTGAACCCCTGATTTGTATACAGCAACAGAGGGCACTAGACAGCAAGCAGCAACTTTCTATATATTGACATAGATCTTCCCATACCATTTAGTCATTCTTGCAGGCCCCCATGACATCTCCTTTTAAATGTATCAACTCTTATTTCAAAAATAGTTGCTTTTCTTACTCCTCTCCCTTCATGAAAAGATTTTTCTGAATCTCAGAAAACATTTTATTTCTAACCTAACAGCTAGAAGGAGCTGCCCTGTACGCAGGCGGGAGGGCAGGAAGTTCACTGCTATTGCTGCAGCAGGTGCCTGCTCCCATTGCAAGCGCCCTGGGGGCTGCTGGCATAGCCCCCGGGCGTCCAGCTCACCCCAACCACGACCTGCTGACAGACTCTGCTCCCCAGCCCTTTGTGTCCCTGCCTTGCTTGGCCAAGCTATTCAAATGCCTCTATGCTGTTCGGTGTCGCTGTACCTGGCACACTGAATGCCAAGGGCTTCAGCTCAACCCTACGGGCTATTGCCAGCTCTGGCAGTTGTAATATGAACACCAAGACATCTGCCTTGGTGTTTGATATTCCAGTCCTCAGAGGTTTCAGCCTGAGAACTTCATTTTCTGCTTTTCAGAAATTTCTGAATATGCTGAACCCAGCATTCTGGGTCACAAGACGCAACTGGACAACTTCAATGCTGGAAGGCTATTAATGTAGATGTGAATATATATTTTCAGTGATGGCTTTGGAGTCTAAATAGCTATAAAATGCTCTGGATGCCTAAAGTCTACACAAGACTTCACTGCACCCTCGAATTGCTCAGAAGAGCATCTTGCAAAGCTTCCAAAAAGTTTAGAAATGAATGCATAATCAGAAAACATAATCAGGAAACAAGAAACAGTACAAATAGATCTGACTATCACCTTTTTCTGTGTGGTGTGAGTGAACCTGAGAGCAGAATTTGCCCAGGGCAGACCGAGCTAATTTGATTCTATGTCGTTGTAAGCAGCTGGGCACAGGAATCATTTTGTTCTCGTTTTGTTAACATTCATCATAAAAAAACAGATGCTTCCTCTGTACTGTGAACATGTTTCTCTCCTGAGTGCTTTTTTATTCTCACACACAGTCTTCTCTCCGTGAACACAGGGGGGCAGTGCAGTTCTAATTTGGATTCAAACGCCCATTAAGCAGATGGTCTTCAACATAAAACAAGCTCAGGCCAAGCCCAAGAAGAACCCCCACTTCACTACCATTTCTCTCGTTATTACACTTTGAAACCCCACCTGTAGCTGTACCTTTTAAAATAAATACCTCTTTCTCAACCTCCACATGTGCTGTAAATCTCCATAATGCCAAAGAAAAGAAAAAAAGAGGGTAAATATTCTTTTTCCTAAACGTAATGTAAATAAGTGGATCTCAGTGCTGCTGTGGACCAAACCCTGGGAAGTGCTATCACCCGTAATTGCCATGGGTTTGTACATCGCTGAAAGTGCTCAGGACTCCCTGTTCAGCAATCAGAAGCAGACCAAGTGCATCTTTTCAAAGGCACTGAGGAACAGCCGTGCAAGCTACAGCTGTCTAAACTTCTTTGGGACTGTAGCGGTCAGTAGTACCCACACATGCACCAAATAAGCTGAATACTGTTCTCAACAAGGCAGGAGGTTAGTGCAGTAGCCTTTTACCTGGACAGAAGGGACCCACCATCCTAGCTGAAGGTTTGAGCAAGATAAACTGGGTTGTTTTCCTGCAAGTCTTTCCCCGACTTTTTCTACATCTTAAAAACAAGCGCATAACACATGATAGGCAGAGCCTATCAGACTTTAAGGCTGTGGCAAAGGGAGTGTTGGAGGATGCAAGTGTACTGAAAAATTTT